AGAAGGAGATACCAAGATCCATTGTCCCCTTTATGTACCCAAGGACATGTATTAATGCTTTCCAGTGCTCTATCCCTGGGTTAGACTGGAAGCGAGCGAGCAGGCTCACAGGGAAGCACAAGTCGGGACGAGTCGCAAGCTGTCCCCACATAACGCGGCCTAGCAGTCGTCGGTATGGGAATCTTTCCATAGCGTCCTTCTCTGCTTGGGTATTTGGAGACTGTGACATATCGAGTACGATTCCGACAGGTAGAGGGGTGGCCCGTGATCGTACGTATCCAAGGTTGAAGTCCAAAAATACATTCTCCCAATATGGGCGCTGCGAGAAGGTGATGGTGCCAGCCTCAAGGTCTTGTTCAATCTTCATCCCCAGAAAGTAACGGTTCTCCCCCATATCGGTGAGCTCCCATTTCTCCTCTAATTCCTTCTTCCGTCGGCTTGCCTCCTCTGTAGTCGACGATGCTCCCCACACGTCATCAGTGTAAGTATCTGTGATAGTATACTCATCTCCAGGCTTGCCAATGATGCGTACACATGGGTCTGCCTTCGATGCACGGTATCCAAGGTCTTCGTAGGTTTTCCCAAGTGTCTCGAACCAATCATGGCCACCCTGCATAGTCCCGTAAATAGTATGGACAAGTTTGCACACCTTATCCTCTTGTCCTTCGACTATGTACCCTGGAGGCTGACACATATAGATGTCTTCCTTTGTCTCGCTATTCAAGTATGCCGAAACAAAGTCCACTTGCCATAGGACAAGATCGAGCTTTGCTGCAACAGCAGCCGACATCCGTACAGATTCGAGACGGGTCACCGCAGCCCAAGTGTCGTTATAGTCGAGTCCATACTGTTGAGTATAGCCCTTCCCAACGAGCCTCGCCTTGTCTCTGATCCAGTTACCATCGCCATCCCATTTCATACCATAGACCCATTTACAATCCATCACATTCACACCCACCGGTCTGTCGACTAGGTCCCACGTATGCTTCGTCATATGCATTTGGTATTCCACATCTATGGCTGCCTTCCATCGCTCTTCATCGACACGCAGTGCATCTTGATGATTTCGTGGGATGTATGGGTCAGGTGGATTACCAGAAGCCATTGAAGCACGTGGCTGTTTGCTGTTGGTTGCCCAGTCATTTCCGCTCGCATGGGCCTCAGCCTCTCGTTGCTTTGACATCAGAGATTCGGCAGCATCAGCACTGGGACGCATTAAGCGCGTTGATCGGCGAAGAGTTGGTTCTGTGGGAGCATCTGGCATAGGCTCGGTTGGCTCGGTTGGCTCGGTTGGCATAGGCATCTCGGTATGAGTAGAAGTGGTGAGTGCAGGTTCATCCTCCGTCTCCCCCACACTCACACTTCGGTGCGCTGGTCCTTCATCGAAGATGACATCACGAGACACGAACACACATCCCGATTGATCAAGTACGCGGTAGTTGGACCCTGAGTATCCCAGAAAGGTGCATTTCTTTGATCGATCATCGAGTTTGCTTCCACCGTCTACCAAAACCCCACCAGCTATAGGTTTCTTTGCCCAGCAAGTGGATCCGAACACTCGTAAAAATCCCACATCCTGTCGTCGCTTCGAGAAACCCTCTGCTGGTACCACTCCAGGATGGCGACTCGAAGGAACAAGGTTTCACGTGAAGATTGACATAGAGGCGGCCTCAGCCCAGTAGCGGTCGGCGAGGCCAGAGTCACTTAGTAGAGCTCTTGTATCCTCCATGGTGGTGCGTAGGGCACGTTCAGCTAATCCATTCTGGGCTGATGAGTGGGGTGCAGTTAATTCCAGGATGATCCCATGCTCCTCGCAATATTGTTTCCACTTTACCCCTGCAAAAGCACGATCAGCACGTACACGCTTAAGCTTTCGGCCAGTCTGGGTCTCAGCCATGCGCCTGTATCTGTCAAAAGCAGCCACGGTAGTGTCGTCTGCTTTGTCCGCCAGGAATTCCCCCGCCTTGAACGATGTACCACTATCGACGAATATCATCATATAAGTCTTTCCACTCGGTGATGCCGTTCGAGACAGTCCCCACAAATCTGTCGCAACAAGCTCCAGTGGGTCGACGTTGGGATTGGTAGGCTCATCGAAGGGACGGCGAGCATGTCTCGCTAGAATACAGTCCTCGCAGCATCCCTGGATAGGCTCTGAGGTAATTTCCAAGCCATCCACCAGCTTTTTCGATGCCATCTCCTCGATTTTTGCAGGGCTCATATGGACAAAACGACGGTGCCAAGTACTCAGCGAAGTGGGAGATGAGCGGGATGCCATAGCTTGGGGGCTGGGTGCAGCATCCAGCACATACATGCCGTCCGAGCCTCGCCCAGCAAAGATCTCTTTACCAGACTTATCCTGGACAACTGCACGGC